CACTCCTGGATCCTGAACTCTGTACATAACGCACTTCTGAATCCTGCACTCTGTACATAATGCACTTCTGAATCCTGCACTCTGTACATAATGCACTTCTGAATCCTGCACTCTGTATGAAATGCACTCCTGAATCCTTCACTCTGTACATAACACATTCCTAAACCTTGCACTCTGTACATAACGCACTTCTGAATCCTGCACTCTGTATGAAACGCACTCCTGGATCCTGCACTCTGTACATAACATACTTCTGAATCCTGCACTCGGTATGAAACACACTCCTGGATCCTGCACTCTGTACATAACACACTTCTGAATCCTGCACTCTGTATGAAACTCACTCCTGAATCCTGCACTCTGTATGAAACTCACTCCTGAATCCTGCACTCTGTATGAAATGCACTCCTGAATCCTGCACTCTGTATGAAACTCACTCCTGAATCCTGCACTCTGTATGAAATGCACTCCTGAATCCTGAACTTGGTATGCAATGCACTCCTGGATCCTGAACTTGGTATGCAATGCACTCCTGGATCCTGAACTCTGTACATAACGCACTTCTGAATCCTGCACTCTGTACATAATGCACTTCTGAATCCTGCACTCTGTACATAATGCACTTCTGAATCCTGCACTCTGTATGAAATGCACTCCTGAATCCTTCACTCTGTACATAACACATTCCTAAACCTTGCACTCTGTACATAACGCACTTCTGAATCCTGCACTCTGTATGAAACGCACTCCTGGATCCTGCACTCTGTACATAACATACTTCTGAATCCTGCACTCAGTATGAAACGCACTCCTGGATCCTGCACTCTGTACATAACACACTTCTGAATCCTGCACTCTGTATGAAACTCACTCCTGAATCCTGCACTCTGTATGAAATGCACTCCTGAATCCTGCACTTGGTATAAAATGCACTCCTGAATCCTGCACTCTGTACATAACGCACTTCTGAATCCTGCACTCGGTATGAAACGCACTCCTGGATCCTGCACTCTGTACATAACGCACTCCTGATTCCTGCGCTCTGTATGAAACGCACTCCTGAATCCTGCACTCTGTACATAACGCACTTCTGAATCCTGCACTCGGTATGAAACGCACTCCTGGATCCTGCACTCTGTACATAACACACTTCTGAATCCTGCACTCTGTATGAAACTCACTCCTGAATCCTGCACTTGGTATAAAATGCACTCCTGGATCCTGCACTCTGTACATAACGCACTTCTGAATCCTGCACTCGGTATGAAACGCACTCCTGGATCCTGCACTCTGTACATAACGCACTCCTGGATCCTGCACTCTGTACATAACGCACTCCTCATTCCTGCGCTCTGTATGAAATGCACTCCTGAATCCTTCCATGCTTTGTGTAACGCACTGTTCCACAGTTTGTGCAAAACCATCTGTAATGGAAGTTTTTATTCTTTTTTTTTTTATGATTGTGCTGGGGTTTGTGTCTGTGAGACTCTTGCTTGTGGCACAGCAATGAAAGCATATTTTATAGGTACAAGGTAGTCTGGGCTTTGTTAACCTCCCTGGCGGTATTCCCGAGTGTAGCTCGGGGTGAAATTTCAGTACCAAAAGCGGTAACCCCGAGCTACACTCGGGCTTACCACGTGGCGTTGCTCAGGGATTCCCTGCAGCGCTTACCTTGTCCTTCGCTCCCCGCGATGTCCCTTCTGCAGCGTCCCCGGCCATTTCCTCCGGCCAATGCCGGCATCCATGTTCCGGTCCCTGTGACGTCGGGACGTACGGGGGCCGGAACCGGCAGCAAATTTAAAAATTTTAAAAACTGTACTTTTTTTGTAAACAAATATTACATAGCAAAACATTGCTGTATCAAACCATTTCACATACATTTTGTCCCGAGTGCTTTGTCCTGTGCCCTGCCTGCATTTTGACTGTTCTTTCTGCCTGGAAACTTAGAAAAGTCCATGGCGTCCAATAAGCGTCCCTTTAGGTCAAAAGCGGTTTTAGACCAGCTGGAGAACAGCGATAGTAAATCAGAACCACTTGCAGAATTGAGGGATAATGATTCGTGGGGAAATTCGTCATCAGACACTGAAAACGATTTTGCGACTTTGCTCAGCGATGTGCAAACTTGGCGCTATATTTCAAATTTCAGTGTTTTTGGTTTGATTATATTTTTGAATTAAATTTATTTTTATTATATTATTATTATTTTTTATGATTATATATTAAATTATAATTTATGATTTCATGTTTCAAGTTTTATCCTTCCTGGGATGTTTACTAGACTCTTGTTCGGACAGATTTCAGTGAGTTATTCCTAAAAATTAAAGGCCTACAATAAAAAAAAAAACTACGTATTTCCATGCAAAATCATGGTACCGCTTTCAGCACCAAAAATCTGAAATAATCATACGGCCAGGGAGGTTAAGCATTTGTCCACACCCATTTTTACCATGGCGTGCTATGCCTGCCACAGGTCACTTCCTCCCTCAAGTGTCCCTCATTCTAAAGCTTAAAAGTTGGGAGGTATGCCGTTGACTACTAAGGGGACAGCGGTTAGGATTGCATATGATCTGCTTGGTGACTACATATGAATCCTAGACTAGGGCTACTTTTTGGTGACCAACTTAAAAAGATCATAGGAAACAAGTGTAATTACCCTTTCTCTTGAGAGTGGGAGGCCAAGGTCTTTAAGACATTTAAATTAAATCTCTGCAGATTTTATTTTCTGCTTTTTTTTCTTCCCCTGAGGAACCCTATTGGAAAAATTGTTTGGCCTGATGTTATGGCATATGCCATTTCTTGATGAAGACTCTTGCTTTGAACTAATCCACCTCCACCCAGTTGTTGCATAGGGACTCATTTATGTATGGCTAAAAAAATCCCAACAAACCTTCTTTGTATAAGAATGGATCTGCAACAGACACATATATATTGTATATGTGGATGTGTCTAAGCAGAATATGAGTAGGATCGGCTTAGTAGAGGTTATAAGGTTCTAATAACATATATTGTTACTTACAGTATATGTGCATTTATGGAATTAGGTGACATAATTTATGATGATTTTAATAATTGTTTATGTAAAAAATTTGCAAACTTTTATATAAAAAAAATATATTTTTGTACTATGTTGTTAGTTACACGTGGCACCAAGAAGGTACCGCAAATGTCTCTATGTTCTTTGTTAGGCAATTTGTAGGGTTGTGATACCTTTGACTATTCATTGAATCAGTTTTATGCATGCTGATTGGTTGAGTCCAGGATTTATGAAATACGTTAATAATAAATGTTGCCTCTGCAGGAAGGAGATTTAGCCAGAAATGTTGATTTAGTATTCCACTGGTTGCTAATATATTTATGATAGGTCATTAAACCTGGCTAATGGGCTGTTGCTTGGGCTATGCCTGCTTAATGGATTGGAAACTGAAATGTTTTACAACCGCTATTATAAGGGGATCTGTTCCTCCAGGCTTCGACTTACAACAATGAGTTAACCATTAAAATGTTTCAGTGTTTTGTTGCCAGATATTCTGTCAAGGACATTCAATTAGCTATTTTGAGTGGTGCAAATTTGCAAAAAACAGCTGACAGGCAGGGTTTTTTGTAACCGAAGAGACCCTAGCATTCTCTTCTGCCATAAATGCCTCCCCTGCATGGCAGCAGTAATGTAATCTGAGCCGTGCATGCGTAGCTCAGACCATATTTATGGTACCCACTGTGTGTTGTCATGACATTACTCCCGTGCCCATGTGTGGGAGTGACGTCATCATGGCCCGACCACTCAAGTGGCCGAAGAGCCAACCCAGAAGCTAGACTGGACCAAGATGGAACCTGCCTAGGAACAATGGCAGCAGTGACAGTGCAGCACTCTGTTTGACAGGTAAGCCCATCAGGGTGTGCTAATATGTTGTGCTTACTAGCACATTATGGCATAAATCTGCAGGGGGCCCATTTAAAAAAACATTTTTTTTGCAGATTTTAATACCGTTTCAAAGGCCACTGAGAGGGTGAGGATTTTTGGTCCTTGATTTAGATTAGTGGACAGTTCTGTTTATTGTCTACTTTAAATGTGTTCTGCTGGGTCATGACCAGTCCGGGCTGGCTGTAATGAGATACACAAACTTTAGATTGGAGATAGAGTTGCAGAGGTGTGAACGCTCAAGGAGACGCTACATTCACAACTTTGTGTGGAAAGTATGGCGATGGGCAGTATATGTAGGAGAGGTTTGGCCCTGTGTTTTCTCCAAGTAGGCAGTGCAAAAAATGTATTGGAACTGTTCTACCTGCTTCAAATTCTGTGCAGTCAGTCCCTATATTCCTTCTCCTACCCCCAAATCCCAACCCCGGTAAAGCTGCACATACACCTGCTCTGTACCATTTATTTTGTGCCTAGATTCAAACTTTAAGAAAATGTATGAGGAAATTGCTTATTGATGTAAGGAATCATAGTCAGTCTACAAAATGAGCAGAAAAAAGTAAAGTAAGATTGCATATTTATTGAGATAGATATAGTTGGTGATGGTAGAACTGTCAGCCTCATTTTGGCTCCTGTATGGATTTCCATTCATCAATGACTGTTATGTACCTGTATGCGGAGGGTGGCCTCTTGCACAGTTCCCGTTCAAGCACCCCTAGAAGTTGAGACAGGGTCTGCATGGGTGATGGAAAGGCACAAGTGCCAGGGTGCCAACACTGAAAACTGGAACTTGAGAAAGTTGGTACCTAGTGACTAGGAATACAGCTGATAGTATACTGAGGATGTGTGAAGTTCAGTTAAAGGCAAAGTCAGGTCCCAAGTGGGAAGACACCAAGTTGTAGGCAGGATCAGAGTCAGAGACAGGCAAAGGTTGGCAATGAGTGGGCAGTGAGATATGAAATTGCTAGGAAGGAGCGTAGCCAGCAGGGGCGGACTGACAACTCATGGGGCCCCCGGGCAATAGGGGATCATGGGGCCCATGTGTCCTCACCCACACTCAAACCACACCCAAAAAAGCCTATGAAAGGTACCAGGGGCATCTCATGGGGCCCCCTACTGACCCCGGGCCCTCGGGCAGTGCCCGAGTTCCCAAATGGTCAGTCCACCCTGGTAGCCAGTAACCCAGACTGAAGTTGGTGGCGGCGATAGACAGCAAACAGAGAAGGGTAATATAAAAAGCAAGGTCAGATGTAAGCTGGGTCAGTCACAGAATCAGAACGGCTACCAGGGTCAAGAACACAGGAGCAAGCCTGAAGACCATTCAGTAAAGAGGTCATGCAGACTTTAGGTTTAAATGGCTCGCTTGGCGACAGTGGACGTGCACGTATGTACTTGCAGTGATGCATGTGTATTGGCAGACATAGGACAGTCCTGGGACTTGCCAATACACATGCATCACTGCAAGCACGTACAGGACACTGTCCTGTGTCTGGCCATTGAGTGGCATCTGGAAAATATATATACAGAGAGGAGAGTGGGCAGGGGGCAGATTGATTCTAGTAGAAGTAGTCAAAATCTCTGGCTGCGTGGCCCTCATGAGAATTGGCTTGGGACCTAAACTCCTACGATGTAGGAGTGAGGGGTAGTGCCCCAGTGATCGGGAGGTGAAGGGGGTGACTTAATGAGTACAGAGAAAGCACTAAAACTCTGTTGATATTTGAAAGTTAACCTACATCTATCATGCCTGCAAATCACCAACTGTCTGGTGTTTGAATCAAGCGGCCCATGCTCCTACTTTGGAAACTGATGGCAACCACAGCTACTGTATAGTGAGTTAGCTCCCTCTGTGAGTGTGGTTCACATAGGCTGGAGGCCAGTTAGGCTTGTCTATGTGCCCATGTTATCATGCTGTGCCCACCAATATGTATGCTCAAACTTTTACGTCCGCAAAAAATGTGCACACGTATGCACACGCGTATTAGCCTGACAATGACAAATGAGAGCTGCAGAACAGCTCATCTGATATATCTCTGTGAAAATCTTCACCATTATTGTCTGGCTTTTGTCTGTTATAAGAAAAGAGAGATCAATGAGATCCATTATTAGGTACAAAAAACTTCAGGTAGTGGCAAGCTACCCTAAGGCTCCATGCACATGTGGCTTAAAGAAAATGCCAGTTCCCTCGACAGAAAAAAACACTGATATAGAGTGTTTATGTACACAGTTTAGGCAAGTTTAGGAGAGTTTACATTTTTTTCTGCCAGAAAGCTCCAATCAAAAAGGCAAACCAGAAGGGTTTTTTTTTCTGTCTCTAAACGTTGAGCCTAAAATATGCCTCTAATGGTCTTAATGTGAATGGACACTGAGCTGATTCTACGGGCCAAACACAAAACTGCAGAAGCAGCGATTTTTAAGCCAGTGGAGCCATGGTCATGTGTTTGGCAAGTGTGGGCAATGGGAAAAGTGATCATGACAAGATTCTGGCAGGCAAGACAACTTGAGGAATCTCAGAAGTGTGTGGTAATCACCTAGCTGTTCCACAGTCCTTAGAGTGCACCAGGCTGTATGCAATATTTGTATCTGCCTGTATAATGTTTTTGAGCAGTTCTTCTTGGTAGTGACCAGTGGTATTACAGGCTCTGATAATTTAATTTAAAAATTACAATATGACAAGAACAGAAAAAAAAAAGGCTTTGAATGATCCTAAAAGAAATCACTATATAGATGGTGGATAACGGTGGGGTGGTAGTAGTTTTGGATACAGATAAATATTATGCAAAGATTATGAGACAACTAAATGATAGGACCACATAAAAATATCTGAGGACAGACCCCTCACACCAATACAAAAGAGAATTGTAAAATGTTGTATCATATGCTAGATTGTTGGGAATACTCTATGATATGATGATAGGTATGACCATTCTGGAATCACATTACCTATGTAGCGCTTACCCCTAGAGGGGACGCTGAGAGAATGCCCAGGTCTCCCTTGCTAGTACAAAGGACACCAGGCAAATGCACAATCTCCCACACACAAACAATAATTGGCTTCATCTAGGGTTTTTCTTTATTGCTGAAGAACTTTAACGAGAGAGGGATTTAGGGTCACAGGATACTCCAAAAGGATAATAATCAATAGGAAGACAAACTTCTCAATAGAAAATCCTTATAGGAGCAGTCACACACTGTCACACATTGCAGTCCCAAATCTTACTGAGGTCTTACTCACAATTACCCAGGAGCTTTCTGCCACCCAGCATTCACGGGTAGATAACAGATCCAGGATTTCAGGACAGTCCTCCCCAGTAAAGATCCATTAACAGTCATCTCCAGGCCCTCAAGCCCAGCTCCTGCTAAGGCCTAGATTGCAGTTCTTGTTTCTGTGTAGCTGCCTCCAGGGGCAGCTGCCCCAGGAACACTGGAATCCTCCTAGCAGAGAAAAAACACTTTAGAAAGGCCTCTCTAACGTTTATCACCCCCCCCTGCCATCCACCTTCTGGACACATCCATCCAGGGATTGGCTGGAGCATGATCAATATTTATGCTGGGCATTTGACCTATATTCTGGAAGCTTCTTCCAGAAGCAGCTGGAAGAAATCAAACTCAGCTCAGGAAACTCTAACCAATCAAAAACAATAGATTACTGCCCCACTGACTACAGTGAAGCCAAAAGCTAATTTTAGCCTAGCAGCCTAACTAGAGGAAGGCGCTACACCTGTCTTCCATCACCTGCCAAACGTGCACAAGGACCCCCCCCCCAGAAACCAGGGAGTGACCTACAATTGTTACTATTGGATCCCTAAATGAGGGGTCAGAGGATTGAATTGACCAACTGTTACAGCCTTTGGTGCAGAGCAGGGTGGATAAAAATCAATGATTTTTTTAAAAAAAAATAAAAATAAAAAAATCTGATTTTTTTAATTTAAATCGGATTTTTTTTTATTTAAATCAGATTTTTTTTGATTTAAAATCGATTTTTTTTTAAATAAAATGCTTTTTGAGGAAAAATATATTACCATCCAAAGGTTATTCCATCATGAAATAAAGATTAGTTTTTTAATTATGTAGAATAAGGCTGTATATGTTTAATGTTTTTGGTAAATAAATTCCATGAATCCATTCACAATGTCATGCTCTTCCAGAGGTTTTTGTAAGATTATTGGGCAGTTTCTCTGCCTACAAGATATTATCACAGATGATTGGTTTACTTTTGCAGTTCTCAAAACTGAATTTGACTCAGCGGAGATCACAGGCCTCTTCTTCACAGCAAAAATGTTATAACATGAACAGAGTTAAGAAAAAGACCTTAATCCTAACTTCTACAAACCTATGAATACAGAATCAACCCCTTCAGTGCTAAGTTTCAAGAAGTTCAGTGAATAGAACAGAAACAATATTTTTCTGATTGTTTGGAGTGGAATAGACCTGCACAAGAAGAAAATGAAACTAAGTGTGAGGAGGAAGGGGCTGACAGTGCGAGGAGGGAGGGGCTGACAGTGCGAGGAGGAAGGGGCTGACAGTGCGAGGAGGGAGGGGCTGACAGTGCGAGGAGGAAGGGGCTGACAGCCTAAGTTTCTTAAAATATATATATTTTGTTTAGCCAAATTAGTTAACAAACATGGATGTTTGTTTAAGCAAATAACATATGCTGGAATGTTATTGTTTCAGATGAATAAATCTATTTAAATTGTTATTATTAAGGGAATGATTATTTTTCTCCTTCCTAAGTACAACAGAAAAGTTGTCCAAATATGAATTATTAACCTATTAAACTGGGGATAAAAAAACTAATATGAAAAGTTGTTATTCTAAAAATCTTCATCTACCTACATATTAAAGTTATACCAGCAAGAATTAGTCTTTATGTAGAAAACTAGGATTTAAATCAAGCCTACTGACTAGTGATTTAAATCGTGATTTAAATCATGATTTAAATCAGTTTGATTTAAATCAAATCCACCCTGGTGCAGAGGCTCCCTTATTATCTAAGGAACAAAAAACATTTGATACAGAGGTTGAAGGGAGTGATTTTGCAGGGGAGAGAAGTGGGTGACTTGTGATGTTTCCAACCTATATTCCTCGATCCCTCATGAACAAGGCTTGAAGACACTTCAATATATACATATATAATCTAGATTGATATAGTGGATGTTCATAGGACTTGAAGAGAGTGATGTAAAGGGTATCTACTTTCTCTTTACACACAACTATTTCCAGTTTGATGGAGTTTTCTATCTCCAAAGATGTGGAGCCTCAATGGGTGCCAAGTTTGCACCAACATATTTGAATAAAGAACTATATGTCTTCCCATGAGGCTATAAATAAATTCACTCCCCCTTACGCTGCTAGAGGGAGTGAATTTATGTATAGCCTCATGGGAAGACATATAAACATGTGCCTTGACACATTTCACTGTGCTTGAATTGGGGGGAATATGTGGCTATAAACACAAGGAGATCATAACTGCATTAGCCAGGAATCGAACCCAGGCCTCCCGCGTGAAAGCAAGCATTCTACCACTGAACCACCAATGCTTTACTCCAAGCTTGTTAGCACCAACATATGTCAACCTTTTTATATTGGTGGGAGGAGAGCCACATCTCTACAGATAAAAACCCATTTGCAGTGAAACTTAACCACCCTAAGCATTCCAGCGCCGGCACAGAAAGATAAATGGTCCACATAACAAGTAAAGTCACGGTCTGAGGGCAGTGTGGGAGCATGTGATGGGTAAGTTATTGGATGGGTGTTTAACCACTTGCCCTCCTGAGGATTTACCCCCCTTCCTGACCAGGCCTCTTTTTGCTACTCGGCACTGCACTAATTCAACTGATAATTGCCCGGTCATGCAATGCTGCACTCAAACAAAATTTACGCCTTTTTTTCACACAAATAGAGCTTTTAGCTTCTTTCGGTGGTATTTGATCATCTGTGCACTTTTTATTTTTCACACTATAAACAAAAAAAGACCAAAAATTTGGAAGAAAAACTATATTTTTTACTTTCAGCTATAAAAAATATATAGTAAACTCAAAGATAGTTATAAATTTAGGCCAAAATGTATTCTGCTACATGTTTTTGGTAAAAAAAATCCCAATAAGTGTATATTGATTGCTTTGTGTGAAAGTTATAGTGTCTACAAACTATGGTATAGATACTGCAATTTACGTCATTTT